TGTTGTGATGGTCCTAGCTTCCAGAATGGAACCAGGCTGTCATAGGAAGAAATGAATTTTCATCATTTAGGAAACTCAGAATAAAGGGTTCATGGAGGATGGAAAGGAACAAAGGCTGCTTTAGCCTCATGTAATTGTTTGAGAATGTCCCTATCTGTGTAGGAGGCACAGAAGAGCATGTATACATAGATGTATATGGATATGCACAGAAAACTGGGTTGGGTGGATGACCTCTTTGGGCCCTTGTAGCCCTAGGACGCTGCATTTTTTATGAGTAGAGATTATTTCTCCACTTTGTTTCTTTCTTTTTTTTTTTTAAACTGCATATAGTAAATCGAATCCAGGGCTCATGGATTTTATTTTATTTTATTAACAAGCAGTGAGTGGTGAGAGGTGGAAGGAGAGCAACCAGGAATTTAGGAGATGCAGTTTTAACATCTTCTAAACTCGCATTGCCACATACTAGTGCTGTCACCCTGCGCAACTCAAATTTCTTTAAGACACAATTTGCCACACTGATAAAGTAGAATCTTAGGACAAACCTGATCTATTTTTTTCTTATTTAAAATTCTACGATTACACAGGCTACTCATAAATGAGTCTATATACATTTTATGCATTTATTAGTTTTGGCCAGTGCAAAAATGGGGGAAATTATCTGCACTTAGGATGACAATGAAGCCTTCCCATCTGAGGGTATTTTATACATAGACACAAACCTTTTATTTTTGCATTATGTTATAAACTCCTGCCACTAGCTTTTTCTCCAAGCAGCATCTCTTACTTATTAAAAGAATCCTGAGTAAGACACTCAAGAATGAAATAGCCATTTTGCTTACCTAAAGCAAGAATCTTATCACCATTTAATAGTGCACGGAAGAGTTGCACATTTATATTTGATTTGTAGCATTTGTTTGTAGTTCGAGGTCCTGGGATGCAGATTTAAACAGATTCCTACCACTGTTCCACTGGCATGGGGTGGTCATCACACATCTGTATGAAAAGCCACACCAGGGTTTCTTCCCTCAACTTGACTTCAGTCTGAGTTCCAAGGCTTTCTGATGATTAAACTGCAGAGAGTTCAAATTTGCTATCAGACAATTGGAACTAATTGTCTGAGACGATTTACATCCATCGTTGTGGGATTTTATGGCATTTCAGACTCTGAGTAAGATGAATAAATAACAGAGCTGGAGTCATTACTCTGTTTTATTACCTGCGATGTGCCCTGGAATCTGGAGGTAATTTGGGCACCATGACTTTGTCAGAGAGTGGACACCTGTCAAGCTGTGGGTTCGGGTGGTATTTTGCAATCTATCCACTTCCACCCTTTACAATTCCAACCTTAAAACCAATGAATTGAGTTGTGTTTTGTTGTTTTTGTCGTTGTTGTTATAAGTAGGGAATTCTATTAAAGAAACGGGAGCAACTCTCCCTTTTCCTTCGGTAATTTGGGTTTCTGTTTCCATCCTCTCCAGTCCTCATCTTGTCTCATGCACACAGACACTTCATTCTTCTGCTTCCTTCATGGACCCAGAGGAAGCAACATCATCCTCATCATCTCAGTGCTTTGACTTTGGTGCAGCAGAGGCCACTCAACCAAGGAGGCCACCGGTTAGCAGTGGTCGCTCGTGCCCCTGCTAGTGAGGGAGATGGTTTGTCAGCTCTTTTTTTGAGAAGCCTATTTTAAAGTCTTAAAATATCTTGGAAACTGAATTTTTCACTCTAAGGAAGTGTTTTCATAGTTAAATCATTTTACTTGTCTGGAAATTTCCCCCAATTTGGATTTATTTTCAAAATTTAATTTTACAAAGACATTTTAGCTTTATATTTTTCTGGCCCCATGTTAAACATAGAACTAGTGCAAAAGTGATTGGTTTGTTTATTAAAAATAGTTCATAAGAGTTATTTAGTCAATTAACAGTTGCCTTCTGAACAATTCTTACATGTGTACTATTATATGATTAGGAGAAAATCCACATTGAACTTCCATTTAGTTTCAGAGAAAAGAAGGGGATAACCTGGGCACATTTATCTGAGAGAGATAAATTAAAAGGATACAGAGTTCAGATAGAACTGTCTTTGTGTATCCTTCTCTACAGCAATCTTGTGTTATGTGCCATTAATCGAGAACAAGAAATTTTATAATTCAGATTTCAGGAGTGAATAGATATTATGCCGAAAAGACAAAGTCTGGATGTGAACTTTAATAACTGCTGAGTCAATATCGTTCATCGAATGCCTAATTTAATGACTGGGCATACAGGAATGAATAAGGCACCCTGACCTGGCTTCAGAGAACTCACAGTCCACACACAGTGGACACAGCACAAGGAAACGTAAGAGGGAGCAGTGATCGCTTCAGCAGACGTGCAGACACAGTGGGAAGCGCGGTTTGCTTTGAGTTAACTTAGGGAGGTATTCTCAGAGCTGATTCATGGCGCACTACTTGAAGGGTGAATTAAAGTTTACCAGAAAGACAGAGGGCAAAATGTGTTCATGCCAGTCAGATGTGCCAGCGCGAGACCAGCTCCAGCGAGCCAGCCATTCCCGGATTTCAGATTTGGAATTTAGTTTGATTTTCTCCTTGGTCCTTTTTCCTTCCTCTCCTGTCACCTCTACTAATCTCATCTTTCAATCCTAATTAAGGGTTGAAAGTACTGAAATAAGCAATTTTCCTCACTCTCTAGTCCTGTCCTGGGCAGTCTCAACTATGGAGAAGGCTGTGGACATGACGTCGGTGTTGATGATACCTGGGTCCACCCCGAACCTGGACCCTCTTCTGGGGTACACCTGCCTCCAGCTGTTGCTCCCCATTCTTGGGAGGTCTCCTGGGCTCCCTTGGTCTGACACAAAAGCCTCCTGAACTTTCTTCTTCACCTCCTCATTCTTCAGACAACATGAAGATATAAATTCAGGTCAAGTCACACCACTCTGCTGCCTAAGAGCTTCAGTAGGTTTCATTTCCTTGGATTTTAATATAAAAAATCTGAACAGCATCTGCAAAATCCTGCTCAGTCAAATCCCAGGTTTCCTCTCAGTTCCCTCTCTTGGCTCCCGGCTCCCTCCTGGCTCTGCTTTACAAGGAGCAACCTCTGTCCATCTCAGGGTTTCTCCCATCTGCTTCTTCTGACCATAATTCTCTATCACTTGTGCATCAGCAGGTTTTTTAAAATTCACTGATGTGCAAGTGATAGAGAATAGTCACTGGGTCCCCCAGATTAGCTTCTATCTCTGCTTAGTGCGTGCAGCATGTAATACAAGCACAGTTTAGTAGAAATAAGTCTGTTCATTGTGCAAGATTCTATGTTTCCAAGGGCAAAGATTGCACACTCTTCACTGCCGTATTCCCTGCAGTTGAAGAATGAATAGATGAAAGGAAGAAAGGAGAGTGGGGAAAAAAGCAGGCAGCTAGGAGGAAGACAGAAAAAAATTATAAATTAATACCATTATATATTCACTACATTGTGAGTAATGCAAGAAGGTAGGCTGAAGAGTTACCAATCAGAGAAAAATATGAAATTAAGATAAATGTGAGAAATACAGGTCTTACGTTATAAACTCTGATTGGAAAAAAGGAGACAAAGCTCCCTTTGCGATCTAAGTTAACTGTGCCATTCTGAGCAAGTCACTTAAGCTTTCTGGGTCTGAGTTTATTCAACAGTGGAAGGAGGAGCTTCAATGAGAAGACACACCATGGAATATTATGCAGCCATAAAAAAGAACAACATCATGTGTTTGGTGGGAAGATGGATAAAGCTGGAAGCTAAGTATCCATATTAAACCAATGCAGGAAAAGAAAACCAAATACTGCATATTCTCATTTATAAATGGGAGCTAAATTATGAGAACATGTGAATGCAAAGAAGGAAATAGACAGTGGGGTCTACTTGAGGGTGGAGGGTAGAAGGAAATTGATGAGCAAGAAAGATAACTGTTGGGTAATGGGATTAATTCCTGGGTGATGAAATAATTTCTACAATAATCCCCCGTGACACAAGTTTACCTATATAACAAACCTCCTATGTACCCTCAAACCTAAAATACAAGTTAAAAACACTTCAAAATTCCAAGAGTCTAAGAGTGAGTGACATGGCCAAAAAGTTTAACGCTCTTTGGGAGAAAGAAGAAGCATAGTGGAAGAAAAGAGAAGAAACGGAACAGACAAAAAACAACCCAGACAGAAAAGCCCCCAGGAGAGAATGTGGACCACAGTCACCAAGCAGACTGTGTAAGAGCTGGATGACGTTGATTGGTCTAATTCGGTGAGAAACAACCGCACATCTCCGATTTGATGAAGGAGGAAAGCAAAAGAAAGCTCTGAAGAGACAGACATATAGAGGAATCATCATAGGAATTGACGTCAACTGACCGTGGATTTAAAGCCAACTCTGATTGCTTCCAGCCACACCGTTTGGGGACCTAATCAGAGGCTCAGAACAAAGATAATAATATCTATTTTCACAAAAACTAAACAAGTTAATATAAATAAAAGCAACTGGCCCAGTTTATGCTCAGAAATGTTTGTTCAATGAAGGAAGAAACAGTTGAAGAGGAGTAGTGTGGGCTGGCCGGGAACCATCACTGCATTTAAGAGGTACATCTTCTATGCATAATTTTACAATGGTGGTGGCAACCTAACTAGCAAGTAAAAAAATAGATTATGCTATGTAAGTAAAAATTGGTAAGATCAAATAATTGAACATGCTACAATGAGTTCAGAGAAGTTTCAATAGTGACTTTCAACTTGTAAGCTCTATGCTTAAAAAAAAGGTATCATTTGTATCTCACAATGGTAGAACTAGGAGTTCGTACTATGTAAAATGTCAATAGACATCATTTTCAACTTAATGAAAATTATTAATGATGGAATAGTCAGGTGTGTGTGTGTGTGTGTGTGTGTGTATGAAACAAGCCCACACATACCAAACACTGACTTTCTATAGGTTTCCTGTAAGCAGAGCTTGATACATAATAGCACTTGCAGGCAGGTGGTTTGTTTAGACAGTGGTCCCAGGAGACAAGACAAGGGACAGAGAGTGAAAGATGGAAGGAGGGAAAACACACAAGGGTGTGCTATCAAGTCAGTCCATATTACAGGCAATGACACTCAATTCTGTGGGACTTTCTTAGAAGATTTAGGAAATAAACCTCAGAACGGTTAAAGGAAAAGAAGTGAAAACATCTATTCTATATCTTCTATTCCCCTTAGTCAAGGGTGGGACAAGGCAGTAACTTCTCTGCACTTTCAGGTCCTGTGTCTTTTATTACCAGCAGCCTTGGTGGGGTTTCCCCAGTGAGGCATCCTCCTTGAGGCATTGGAAACCCTGAGGCAGGAAGAGAAAAAAGCACAGCTTGAGGCTGAAATGGACAGAAATCAAGTGAAACACATCCGTGGAGTCAGGTTATTTGAGAAGTGATCCCATCCAGCAGGGATGAAGGCCACTGTGAATCACTCAGGGAAGACGGGAACAACACCACCACAAAGCGTGTGGAGTTTTTTTCTCACCTTAGGGAAATGGGGCTCCGATTTGTGCAAGCTTCTGACAAGTTTAATGAAGTATCTCAGAACTGTCCAGGCAAGGAAAGGTAAGAAACAGTGTCTGATGGCTCCTGCTCCCGTTGGGTAAAGATGGCTGTTTCTGAGTTGGAGATTATGCCACAAGATCAGAGAAGACCAGGCAGACAGCTGTCACCGTGCACCAAGGGCTCGTCTATGTGGACACACTCCGGTTATGTTCTGTGCAAAGACAGTGAAAGTCTGCAGCTGAAGCTTTGGGAGTAACTAGAGATGGAGTTTAGAGATTGGCCTTTGGGAGGCCGAGGCGGGTGGAACACGAGGTCAAGAGATCGAGACCATCCTGGTCAACATGGTGAAACCCCGTCTCTATTAAAAATACAAAAAATTAGCTGCGCATGGTGGTGCGTGCCTGTAATCCCAGCTACTCAGGAGGCTGAGGCAGGAGAATTGCCTGAACCCAGGAGGCAGAGATTGCGGTGAGCCAAGATCGCGTCATTGCACTCCAGCCTGGGTAACAAGAGCGAAACTCAGTCTCAAAAAAAAAGAAAAAAAAGAGAGAGATTGGAAGTAGGGTATAAGAATGTCTGAAACAAGTGGAGGCTACTTCAAAAATACTAAACCTTTCTTCCATGTTTTTATTTGGTATTAAGTTTTTCTGTAGCTGATAGAGACCTAAAACAATAGTGTTGTAACCTAGCTAGAAGTCCAGAGGCATTCAGGCAAGGGCTGCTGTGTTGTGTAGGAGAGCCTCAGGGACTCAGGCCTGTTGGGTTCCAATAGCTTTCATTGACATGGCCCCCTGGTTATGGTCCTCAGCTTCGCCAACCGTGATTGAGATATAGGATCTCAGGATGGTTTTCTTTCCTTTAGGGCCGTATCACATAAGCATGCAGCCATAGACACTATAGTTAATGTTTGTCTCTTTAGTCCCCATCTTTGTACCTGTCATTTCCTTTTCATGTCTTCATGCATTAACTGGGATGGGAATTCCAGTACGGTGCTGAATAGAAGTGGTGAGATGAAGCATCCTTGCCCTGTTCCCAATCTAAAAAGGAAAACATCAAGTTTTTTTTTAATCTTAAGTATGCCATTGGGTTTTTTAGATGTTCTTTATCAATGTGGTGTTATTTTCTAAGTTGGCTGAGAGACTTTTATTGTGAATAGGTGTAGGACTTACCAAATGCTTTCTTTGCATCTGTTGCTATGATTATATGATTTTTCTCAGTTAGCCCGTTTATCTGATGTGCTGCATTAATTTTTGAATGTTGAACCAGTTTGGAATAAATCCCACTAGGTTATATCATTTCTATACATTACTGTATTCTATTTGCTAATATTATTTGAGGATTTTTGTATCTACGTTCATAACAGGTGTGCATTTGTAGTTTTTCTTTTTTGTAATATTTTTGCTTTTCATTTTGGTACTAGGGTAATACTGGTCTCTTAAAATGAGTTGGGAAGTATTCTCTGTGCTTCAGTCTTCTGAAAGACATTATAGGGAATTAATATCATTTATTTTCATTGGCAGAATTCCCCAGTGAAATCATCTGGGCCTGGTGCTTCCCGTTTTGGAAGACTATTAATTATTGATTTAATTTCATTAATAAATATAGCCTCATTCTAATTTTGTAGTGCTCTAGATCTGAGTTTTGATAGTTTGTATATTTCAAAATATTTGTTCATTTGATTTCCGTTTTCAATTGGTGATCGTACAGTTTTTCATCATAGCATATTATTATGTTTTTAACTTTTGTAGAATGTTGGCAGTGATATATATTATTAATTTTTATCTTTTTCTTATTTTTCCCTTGAATGTTCATCAGTTTCATTGATTTACTTCAAGAATCAGCTTTTGGTTTAATTGATTTTATTTATTCATTTCTTATTTCAATTTCATTAATTTCTGCTCTATTTTTAAAGAATTTTTCTCTGTGCATCAGGCTTGCATTGCTTTTCTTTCTCTGGTTTCCAAAAGTAGAAGCCTGCAGATTTTACATTTTAAAAAAGAATATATGGACTCAAACTTTAAGCTATACATTTTCCTCTAAGCACTGCTTTCATTGCATTCCGTATAACTTGATGTCATATTTCCATTTTAATTTATTTTGTACACATAAATATGTACTTAATGTTTTGAGAGCTGCTCTTCAGTCCATGTCATATTCATAAGTATTCCATCAGTGTTTCGGATGTCTGAGTATTTTTAAATATTTTTATTCTGATTTCTAATTTAGTTCCACACTTGGGCCGACACCGAAGTTTATATGACTTTTAATCCTTTCAATTTGTTAACATGTGTTTTAAGGCTCAGTATGCAAATGGCCCATGTTAGCCTGGGAAAACTGGGTATTCTCCCGTTGCTTCTGTAAGTGCTGTCCAGGTCAATCATAGTCATACTGGTTTTCTGCCTGCTGAATCGATCAATTATTGATGCAGAAATGCTGGAGTCACCAACTGTAACAAGGGATTTGTCTATTTCTCCTCGAAGGTTTATCAGTTTTTTTCCTCAAATGTTTTAACATTCTGTTATTGCATAGTTTTAGAGAGTAACCTCCTAAATAATTAAACAATGCTTCTCATTTCTCCAGTAATTTCTATTGTTCTGAAGTCTGCTTTGTCGGACACTAGCATCATTTTCACTTCCTTTGGTCAGTGTAACCTAATATGCTTTCTATATTCCTTTACTTTCCATCTATGTCTTTACATTTAAGTATTTCTCTTAGAAATTGCATAATTTTATGTCGTATCTTCATTCTCTACTTTTAGCTTTCTGAATTCTATATGTTAACATCTGTCTTGTGTTATCAGCTACTTTAGAGGTGGGGTTGCTCTTTTTGACTGTATTAAAATTATCTATTTTTTAATTAAATTATCTAGTTTATTTTTTGTTTCATACAATTACTGATATATTTGAGGAGACCTTTGTCATAAATGTTTTATGTTTCTCATTTTCTCCTTTACCTATTTTGATTGCTGTAGCATTTCTTAATGTGTTTACTTGTCTCTCTTAGCATGTTATTTATGCATTGTGCTTTTTTAGTGATCACTCTAAAGATTTCATTTTCAATTTATCACATCTAATATTATTGTTGTTAACGTTATTGAAAGCAGATGTTTTACCTCTGCCAGGAAATTTCATGATATTAAAACACTTTAACCCCATGTAGTCTAATTTCTTCCTTACATGCTCATATGCATTTAACAGGAGTGGATGCTCAGCCTAATAAGACATTATGATTTTACACTGTAATGTAGCACTAAAGATTTAAAAAAACTATTTAGCTTCTACCCACAGACTTACTTACTTTTTTTGTTCTTTCCTTCTTCTTGTGCCTCTGTGCTTCCACCTGGGACCTGAAATTCAGTCCATCACTTATCCAGAAGTCCACTATGACTATCCCAATTTTATACATGGAATGATGGAGGCCAGGAAAGATTTTTCAGCTTACTCAAGTCATGTAGCTAGAAGACAATAATGGAGTTCTGTAAGAATTCCAAGTGTATATGGCTAACAACTTCTGTCACACATTTATTTAGTCATAAGCTAAAACTTGAGGGAGTGGGAAGGACTGCAAAAAAATCGGAGAATGTAAAGATGTGTTCGTAGGTCTCCTGATGACAGAGGAGCAGTGGAAGATAGAAATTGGCCAAGTGCCTTCCTTAGGGCAAAGATGAAACCAGAAAGATGGGACAGCATTGTAGAAGGCAACAAAGAATTTCCAGGACCCCTCATGATTTGGGGAGTTAAATCACAAAATATCAAGATGAACACTGTTACTTTCGGGAAAAGTACTTGTATAAAAATTTAAGTTTGCTTGGATGTATAAACAAGGATAAAATATGGTGGTCATTAGTTGTAGTAGCTCAGGAAAAGCAATGATCACATATGGCATGAGGAGCAGTGTGTGTTCCAAGACTAAGGGGCAGTAATAGATGGAGGGGGAGAAAAGAGGGAGAGAGTCAAGTTCTAGAGATACTCAGCAAAAACCTCAGCATTTTAGAAACACCATATAGCTATAATCCTCCAAAGCAGGACTTATCGCCCTACTGTCTGCAAACCAAATTGGCTCTTCGCCTGTTTTCTATAGGAAGTAAGATGGTTTTCATGTATTTTAAGGGTTGTAAGACGTACTAGCAGTAATAAAATAATAAAGAAGGAATGAAATTCAGATCATAGGTGAACAGGAAAACCTAAAGTATTTATTATCTGGATCTTTACCAAAAAAAAAAAAAAAAAAAAAATCTACTAATTGCTGCTTTAAAGCAAAATAATATAGACTTAATTTTATTAATATAAAGTTTTATTTCAGTTTCGATTTCGAATGGAATTACTGAGGATAGCATGATTCACAAGGCCTCATTTGCCCTAACCCCATCTTCCTAAACTTCCCATCCTGTCTTCAATTCCTTTATTCTGTGTTGTAACTGAGACTTTGTACATATATCCTTTCTGCTTATAATTCCCTTTTATCGGCCTTTAACAATTTAGTAGCTACTTATAATTTGAATCTGTACATTTTACACTTTTTTTTTTTTTTTTGAGACGGAGTTTCGCTCTTGTTACCCAGGCTGGAGTGCAATGGCGTGATTTCGGCTCACCGCAACCTCCACTGTCCGGGTTCAGGCAATTCTCCTGCCTCAGCCTCCTGAGTAGCTGGGATTACAGGCACGCACCACCGTGCCCAGCTAATTTTTTGTATTTTTAGTAGAGACGGGGTTTCACCATGTTGACCAGGATGGTCTCGATCTCTTGACCTCGTGATCCACCTGCCTCGGCCTCCCAAAGTGCTGGGATTACAGGCGTGAGCCACTGCGCCCGGCCCATTTTACACTTCTTAAAAGCGTCTACCATTATCTCCCAGGGTTGTGCAGTTTTCCTTTCATTTTTTTCTCCAGAGCGTCTGGGACTACGTTTTGCTACTGTCACACGTGTTACAATTTGGTTGTGTTTGTGTGTCTGCCCTCGTGAACTCGTGTCTAAGAAGAAAGCAGCGTGTATGATCTGTACCTTATATAACCAGAGACAAAGCTGGTAAACGGTGATGAATGAAAGTGTCACACTGAGTTCAGCTCTCTGAGATTTTAGTAATGGATGGACTTAAGGAGAACTATTTATCACTGAACATTTTTAAGAATGGAAGACAAGTCTTAATCCTTTTTGACTCAATTAAAAAAAAACACAAAATACACAGTTTTCTCTGTGAGAAAAACATGCAAAAGTCAGAGTCCATGTAGCATATAGGTGTTTCATTTTATAAATTATTTTGCTTTTAGGCAACAGTGAAAATACCAATGCTTTAGAAAACCAGAATCCATTACTTCATCTTTTTTTCAATATACACCTCTATGTTTATTCACTTATTTCTTCTTTCACTCATTTCAGAAGTAATTGTTAAGTGTGCACTATATTGCAAAACATTGTGCTAAGTAGAGAGAGTGTAACATGATTAAGGCCCTTTACTGTCACCTCTTAATGTGGTACTTGAGACCTTTCCATTCCTAATTTAAATGTATCTTCCTTGATGAAGACTTCACAGAGCACCAAAGCCAGAAGGTCATCCGTTCCTCTTCTAAACTTGCACATCCAGTTACACCATAGTACTCACGGAATTTTCATGCCAAGTGAGAGCTTCTTCAGGACGGGGATTTACCCTGATTTATCACTGTAGCCTCCCACAGCTCCTAGAGTGCCTTTCACACAACAGGCATTCAGCAAACACTGCTGTCATGGACTTAAAACATGGAAAGTGAATGCTTTCAGCAAGGAGGAAAATGTCTCAGGATTCGCATGCATTGTCTTAAGCAATATTGCATTTTTTGGTAAGAAGCCCTTTAGGAAGTGTATAAGATATATATTTTTAAAATGTTAAAATTTCATTTTAGAAATGCCTGAACACAGACTGTGGAAGTAACAAGAACTTCCAAGCAAAATGTAAAAAAAAAAAAAAAAAAAAAAAAATCCATGACATCATTTAGGATGTAATCATTTGGTTCACAGATTATAGATAGCTACAGGGAAGTTTCATATAAATTGAAGAAAAATTTATATGAACTCCTATAAACTGAAGAAAAATTTGGAATTATTATTTGAAGTAATACTAAAGAATAAAAATCTCAATTTGAATAATGATCTTTATGTAACTTAAGTAAAATCAAGTAAGAAATCATGTTGATTCGCATAAAGCTATGCTATATTATCGGTCTAAGTTAAATAAGCATGGTTAAAATCTATAGTACATTACAACTCACATTTGTGATTCTGAGTTTGTCTTTCAGTAGCTTTGTGACATTTTCAGGTCATGGAGTCTTTCAGGATGTCTGCATATTATGTGTTAGGTGTGTGATCAGAAGGAACTGGGTAAGATGTCAGACAGGGGGGCTGGCTGAGCCTTGCTATGGAATCCCTCTACTCAGGCACTACCTCTGCCTGAACACTGCTCTGACTAATCTGCACATTTCACCTTGCTGTCTCCATTTCTGTGTCGAATACTAAATCCGATCATATTTTTGGTGATCAATTTTATCCGTATATACCACTTTTAATGCAAAGAAATCTTATTTTGTTTTATTTAGGTATTCTTACATTTCATATCAATGCTCATGCTGTAAAAAAGTATAAATTATTTTAGAATTTATCCTGTTATTACAATGCATATTTGTTTTGCTAGCAAACAGATATCTCCCTCATGCCAGAGCTGCTGTATCCTCTGAGAAGCCAAAGCATAATGACCTTCTGAGTGAGAAGATCTTGAACTCAGTGAGGCAGTATGCATAGTTTTCATCCCATCACCATTGCTAATTAGCTACTTAGCCCTGTGCAAATCATCTGCACCTCCATCTCATCCATTAAAATGTGGATGACTTTGTCATCCCTAATTCACAGAGCCACCATGAGGACAGGTAGTAGACTCAGGTGTGTCACTGAATAAAACATAAGGCAACAGTCTTTCCTGCAGAAACAGAAAAGGGAGAAGCACTGGGTTCCCATGTGAAGTTATGCCAATTATAAATCATAAAGACCTCTGTTGAAAGGATCAAATCACTAAAAGTTAATTCTCTTCTTTTTTCTACATACCAATCATCAAATTGTTAGAATCAATTCTTAAACAGACAATAAGCTATGACTCAAAACTTTTGCCGGGTGTGGTGACTCATGCCTGGATCCCAGCATTTTGGGAGGCCAAGGCAGGTGGATCACTTGAGGTCAGGAGTTTGAGACCAGCCTGGTCAACATGGTGAAACTCTGTCTGTGCTGAAAATACAAAAATTAGCTCGTTGCGGTGGTGGGTGCCTGCAATCCCAGCTACTAGAAAGCCTGAGGTGGTAGAATCACTTGAATCCAGGAGGCAGAGTTTGAAGTGAGCTGAGATCATGCCACTGCACTCCAGCCTGGGCTACAGAGGGAGACTCTGCTTCAAAAACAAACCAAACAAAAAATACTTTTCAATTATCAATATTACGAATTTCAATAAGCAAAGTAGTTTCTCTATTTCTAACTTCAAGGATGTATTTATTGTTATTCATAAATTATAGTGAAAACCAATCTAGATGTGCTTTATCAATAAGCCACAATTTCATTCAGTTTTAACATGGAGTACATTTTAATTTATTGCTACATAATTGAAAGAACCAGAAGGATACAAAAGTTTCACAAAAATAAAAATAAATAAAAAAGAGGGCATAAGACTTCCAAAATAATCTCTCGTGCCCCAATTGCTCCATTTCAGTATTTTTAAAAACGTTTCCAGGGCTCCTGAAGAAAGTTTAATTTTTGTTGCTTCTTTTTTTTTTTAATTGATGGCAAGTTTCAGTCTGTGGCTTCTTAGTGATTGGCTTTTATAGTTAACTCCATAAATAGCAGTATCAGCACATTAGAATCAAAGTGTGTTTCCTTTATCAAGCACTGATCATTTCAATCACAGGAAATAAAAAGTTGAGAGCTTTCAGGATGTTGTATGAAAGTCACACAGAAACATGACCTAGTCATTCTACCTCAGGCAATCCATGTAGATACTTATTTTTTTTTTAAAATCTGTTTTGCACACCTGGTTTTACAAAGTCTAACATTAACTTTTTCAAAAGGAATAATTTAACTAAAAAAATTTAATTTGATTCTTTCAGTCATCTATAATCACTTCTAAATCAAAACATTTAATTTTGTCAATATCTACACCAGGGTTGCAAAGAGATAATATCAACTTTTCATAAACTTCGTGAGATTTTTAGCATCTGTGAGAGAAAGGGATAGAGGTGAGGAATATGGGGAGGAAGTGGTATTCAGGCACGTGGGCAGATGGAGAAGTGTGGAGGGTGAGGCTTGCATGATCACCAAGGCCAGCTGACTGCTTTGAACTCTTTCTCCTTTGTATTTGGTTTTTAAGAACTTTATTTCACATGGAATAATTTAAACTGTTAGTAAATTAAAATCACATTAGTTTTGTCCAGGTAGTTTTGAAAGTATG